GAGTATTGTACGCATTTGGTCAGTTTTAAACAAAAGAAGGACAAAAAAAAACTTATTGCACAAATTAGTTAGAATCTTAGTTGATTAATTAATCCGGATCGAACATAAGTTGAAAACATTTTAATTTAATAATCAGGAAGCTCCAAAAGCAAGATACCTGTTATCGAATCTCCATATGTTAAGTTGTATCATAAGCTTTTACTTATTGTTAGTTCGTCCTAGAGAGTTTTCTCTCTGGCTCGAGATCCAAGGCGCTATTGCATTTTCAAACTCCGATCATGGAATTGATCTCTTCCGCCGGACTTGTCTTCTGATAAGCCATGCTTCTCATTCTCGGGATCCCGGCTGGACTTACCCGAAGAACCATCTCACCATGGGGTGATGTTCTCGTGCAAGCTCGAAGACCATGACTCTCACCTTGCTCTCTCCCTCCGTCGACTAGACCTACACCGCTGGTGTGGCCTCTCTCTCTCTCAAAGTCATAGCTTTCCCTCACAGTGTGAAGATGAAGAGTCCAGCTTCGACCTCCCATCGTCCGGAGCCACCAGATCTATCTCCTCCGGCACCGCGGGAGCCTTCAACACCGCCAGAACTGCGTGATCCTCTCGACCCTCCACTGGTTCAAACTTTCCCAATCCTTGCTCTTTCCACCATCCGTAGTGCTCCTCGACCGGCGTGAGTTATCCTCCGTCAGATCTGCTTTGTCCCCCACCATCGTCCTCCTCCATCCTCCACTGGTCTCCTCCGTATGCTCAAATCTCAGTCTCACCACTAGCCTTGGATCCGGCGAAATATCAGAAGGTCAAACTTCTCCTATGGCCGCCTCTTCCGAGATTCACCGTCCATGTGACTGGTCGAAGCTCAGATTCCGGTGTGTCTCCTTCCGGAAAATTTCCCGGTGATGTTCTTATATTGGGCGAGGCCCAATATATGTTATTTGGTTGTCCCTTGTGGAAAAGCCTATTAAGCAATACACTTGTTCGTGTCAAAGCTATAGCCATAGCTTCGAGATTGTATTGTCTTCAATCTCCCTGGTAAGTTAACATTCGTGCTCATACTCTCCATCGATCTTAATTTTAGATGTGTATGACACCTTGTTAGGGCTATTACCGGAACCGTATTCATACTCTCCATCGATCTTACTTTTGGATATGTGTATAATACCATGTTGGGTTTATTATCAGGATTGTGTTCATACTCTCCATTGATCTTATGTTTGGATGTGTATGACACCATTTGGATAGCTTCAGATGTCTTCTCCCTATAGTTGCCCCGCCCATTTCTGCCTATGTTATTTGGTGTTAAATTGCATATTTACCCCTTGTTGGATGCTCCAATTACTACTTATCTCCATTCCTTTGGGTCCAACTTCATATTTCATTGTTCCTTGGCTTGTGTACCGTTGTCGTTGTGTCGCGCGGTCAACTTTTGGATTGGAAGAACTTGATACAGATGACTCGCTCTCTGTACTTATTAAAGGCTCAACACTTATTAGTGCAACCGATTTCAAGATTGTTAATTTCGCACTGGTTGYTGTATCAATCATGGGTGTTAGTTCACAGGTTRTGTTCTTAATCTCCCACGACGTCATTACACTKCTTAGGCCCTATGTTGTSGAGATMCGAGGACYTCTCTACGACGTTTGATGCTTATGTATAATGATTGCTTGTATCCTCTGTTTGTGTGCTCTTTGCTTGCCTTTTGTAGCAGCGAATTTAGTAGTCTTGATGGCTTTGTTACTATTCTTTGTAAACGAATCCTCCTTTAGTGAAGCGTAAGCATCCATATAACTACGTTTGTTTGACAAAAAAAAATGCTTTTACTTTATTTTATTATAACAACAAAATTAAATTTTTTGAGAATTACCGTTTTTAAATTGGGAGAATTTTTGAGAAATACCACTTTTCAAAAATGCTATTTTTTCAAAATCTTTACAAATATGCTATTTTTTTCAAAATCATTTGCTCAATATATCATTTATGTTTGGATTAAATATGTTGTATACAGGTTTAGTTTTGAGGGTTTAGGGCTTGTTTTGGGTCAAAACCTTGTTAAAAGTTTAGAATTTTAATATTTAAGGGTTTAAAAATCCTAGACTATTAATATTATTGCAAATGAACAACTTATAGTGGCATTTTTGAAAATTGATACACCAAAAGTAGTATTTTTACAAGGAATAATTACACCTATAGACACTTTATATTGAACAGTTTACGTATAAAAACACTTTTTTATGGAAACACACTTTCTCATACTTTTGCACAAAAAGTTGGTTATTTCAGACAAATTTACCCCTGAAGGGAAGGGAACCAGATTTTTAGTTTCTGTCTGATCTCAGTCGTTCAAAATCATTAAAATCTAGTGGCTGAGATTAAAGATATCTGTATGTAGTGCACATGTAGCCGTCTATTTTCATCATCTTGTTCTTTTCCAGGATCATCTCTATGCCAAATCTTTCTGAGAAAAACAAAAGAAAACAAAAACAAATCTGTATATGTGAATGGAGAGAGAAATTGATATTCTTCCTCTACTGCCTATTAATGAAGGGAATCTCTATCAACATAAAACCTCCAGTTTACAACATCAACAAAAACGTGTCTCCTCTCCTTTGCGAATCAGATAAAGATAGCAACAATCGAAGAAGAGCTTGAAATGGATCACCACCACGACGATGGCGATGGCGTCCCTCAACATGTCAATAGCCCTCGTTTCTCTTGTCCCATGACTTGTCGTGCTCGATCTTTCAAATGTGGTGGCTCCGGTGGCACCCAACAACGTCGGCGGCTGGTGACAACAATTCCAGCTCAAGCTTAAGAGTTCATCACGAGATCAATCTACACCTCTCACCTAGATCTGAGATCGGTTCTGGTTCAAGTCCGGATCTTCAAACGACTGGGTTTGATTCTTCGGCTCTCAATCGAAAATAGATGTGTGGTCAGTTGTGAGAGAGATTAGTGAAAGGTTTGTTGAGAAAACCGATGGGCTCGGCTGTTACGGATTTTAGTTTGAGAGTGAAGCAGAAACTTGGCCATTGGATGTTTTTGTATTCAGTGGTTGGTTTGGATCATCAATCTCTATTAATGGAACATCAATCTCTATTAATGAAGGTAATTTCTTCGAATTGGGTATCTATACCTCTTAGATTCTTTGAATTGGGTATTTGATTCTTCGAATTCGGTATGTAAAACTCATTTGTTCTTTGATTCATGTGGTCGGTATTGTGTGGCTAGGTTTTCGTGGTTAATGCAAATGTTTTCATCTTCTATACTCTGTTTCGATTTGGAGAAACAAGTTTCGATTTGGACTCAATAGACATGTAACTTTACTAGATCCTATACTCTGTTTCCATCTCAAATTCATTAAAAAAACTCAAAGAATCTTGGAATTGTGCAACTGATATTTATTCACGAGGTGGTGGATGGATCAAAGATTAGAAGCTTCATTAAATGATCATGGACAATATGTTGTGGATAATGCATCTTGGAATTTTGTCATGGATAATGCATCGTGGATACAAATGCTTCTCCATCCCATTTGAGCACAACATAATACATTGGAACAGAGCTTCTTTTTTTTCAAAGATCATCCATGCACAAATGTTTTCGGGTTCTAGAAATAAAGTGTAACCACACTTGGAAATAATTGGAATACTATGGGAAATATTCTCTAGTATTCTACGAAAAAGAATTGTGTAGTGCTCTATGAATAATGARGAACTTAGACATCTATTRTTCTAACTACCCAATTTCGTGATCTGGCTAAGCTAACSTAACGAAATCTTAGAATCCYAAGCTCTTACTAGGTACTAAGAGTTCATAAGGAGCATTACGAACTCCTGACCTGAAAAACTCTCATTGCTTGCT